TGCTAACAGGACCATGCTGCTAACAGGACCATGCTGCTAACAGGACCATGCTGCTAACAGGACCATGTTGCTAACAGGACCATGCTGCTAACAGGACCATGCTGCTAACAGGACCGTGCTGCTAACAGGACTGTGCTGCTAACAGGACCATACTGCTAACACCACACTGCTAACAGTGCCATACTGCTAAAAGTACCTCACTGCTAACAGAACCACACTGCTAACAGTACCATGGTGCTAATGGGACCATGCTACTTACAGAACCACACTATTAACAGTAACATGGTGCTAACAGTACCATGGTGCTAACAGGACCATTCTGCTAACAGGACCATCCTACAAACAGAACTGCACTGTTAACAGTACCATGGTGCTAACAGGACCATTCTGCTAACAGGACCAAGCTACTGACAGAACTGCACTGTTAACAGTACCATGCTGCTAATGGGACCACAATGCTAACAGAACCACACTGTTAAAAATACCATGGTGCTAACGGGACCATGTTGCTAACAGGACTGTGCTGCTAATAGATTCACACTGTTAACAGTATCACAGTGCTAATGGGACCATGTTGCTAACAGGACCATGTTGCTAAGAGAACCACACTGTTAACGTACCATGGTGCTTAAGGGACCTTAAGAGAACCTCGCTGCTAACAGAACCACTCTGCTTATAGGACCATGCTGCTGTAGATCTATTTCTTTTTTCACTTTTGGCATCTTTTTTTTTTGTATTGTTGTTGCATGCTTTGGTATTTCTTTTTGTTGTTATTTTGTTTGACGAGTCTAGACGGTTCTTCTCGTCCTGAGCATTTCATTGCTTTGTTGACCTTGTGTTGACCTGCATAATGACAATAGACCTAAACCTAATCTACAACCGAACAGCTCAAAAAGGAAATAAACAATCCAGTCAAAGTCCAGAACCTCAGCTTAACTGAATCACTGTGGTGGGACCATTAGGGAGCTGAGCAGAAACCCCAGTGAACTGAAGCATGTTTTTCCTTCTAAATGTGGCAGTTGAACGTGATGATGCACTGGACTTAGTTTTTCACACAAATCTTTCATTTAGGCTTGTTTCTCCTAAATAAGTAATGACATAGTGGAATTTGTTGTGTTTTCCCACCATTAAAACAAAAGGCCAGAATTGATCTCAACCATAATGAGTGTATGCAAACTTCTGTTTGTTTAATAATGGGATCATCTGAACCCTGTACCCAAAACGAGCACACCCTCTAGACGACAGCGCTGTCATTCTGCTGTCTGACGAGGTGGAGTTAGAACTGCAATGTGGGCGTGAGTTCCACTCTCGGGCCAAGAGGAAAAATATCCCAAACAACAGCGCAACGTCTGCGTTAAATCTAAGAACAGAAACCGTTTTGAGAGGAAACAGAGCAAGTTGACTAGGAGTGTTTTTTTGTTTTTTTTAAGTGTTAAAATGAGGAACTGAGTATATGCTCACCCGCAGTGATGGATTTATTTCCAGGGTTTAATGCAGTCATGTGTTTGGCTAACAGTTCGCTACAGAACAAGCAGGTTGGGAGCATTGCTGTGGCGGCATGGCAGTTGGAGGAGAGGTCAGATCCGAGGATGTCCGTCGGACATCTGCCAGACATCATTAACGGGCGGGTGAGGAGCTTTTGTTTATCTTTATGCGGTGTTGGAGGTAGATGGTGTGACACGAGTCGTTTTGTTTTATCAGACTGTGCTGACTGTAGATGAGAGCCTGACGGAGTCCATGGGAGTCCGGGTCAAATACGCCTCGCTATGTAAAGACACCCTGCTACGCTCAGGTTAGAACAATGAGTCAATCGGTTTTATCTTTTACCAGATAAAAACGTGAGCAGCTCAGCTTTTCTGTCAGAGCGACACAATTCCAAACTGGTTTCTTGGAAATTAATGGTGATGTGATCAGTAATAGCAGTAGAATGATAAAAGCTTAAGGAAGTCTATAAAATAAAAAAAACTACTGTCAGGACGATGAAACTCTTCCTGGAAACACAGTAATCAGCTCACAGTGTCTTCGAGGAGTTGAAGAAATGCCAGCTGTTTTTTTTGGCATGGTTACAACTCTTAAACCTGTTTACTTATGAACAACTGACTCTGATGTAAACGTTTAAACACGAGTAAATCCTTCAACGTTTACATCAGTCCCTCGATTATCGTAGGGATTACGTTCCACTCACCACCGCGATAGGTGAAAAACTGCAGAGTAGGAATGCTATTAAAACAAAGGTTTGTAAGCGAAATCATCCAGGTAGATAACAACAGCAAAGGTTAATATTGTCATCTGCACCACTTTCTTTGGTGAGAAACGTTTTGTCTCCCATCCAGAGGACTTCGTCAGTCTGCGGCCTGCCAACCAGATCTGTCCCATAAGTAGCCTTCATTGCTGTGTTTCAAGTCAACTCCTGTTGGAATCTCAGAAGCGGGCTTTTAACACGTGCAAGCAGAGCACACCCGTCCAAAACAATCATCATGTATAACAATCAAACATTTCTCACTTAAAGAAACTGGTCCAGATGACACGATTTAACCTTTTTTGTTAGGAAAGCTATATTTATTTTAATATTTATGAATATTTTAAGGCTTTATAAACCCTTTATACACTTTATACACCCTTACTCTCTTCCTATAAACTCTTGCAATGTTCTTAACTCTTAAACCTACGTAATTTTAACAGCATACGTATATGTACTATACAGTACTGTATAATTTTACTCACCAGCTCTGCAGACCAGCAGCTTGTTTCCAGTCAGAATCATTTCCGGTTCTGCAGACTTACCCTGCAGCGACAAAGCCCACCGCCCCGTCCAGGTTGATGTGTGTGTGGATAATTGAGCTTCAGGATTATTCGCGACTTTCCTGCCAGTTCTGTGAGCTTGTCAGATAGATCGTTACTTCTGACTTTATGTTGCAAAACTTTCCCTTGGTTTCGTCAGAAAGCAGCGGCCGGAAGCACTGTTGGCTTCTGGGTAGTGTAGTTCTTTTGACTTGCGTTACAGTATAGACTTATTGAAAGGAGACTACAAAATGACGATGCCTGTCTGAAGTATTTTCTTTTCGTTAACTTTATTTTTATCTCGTACAGTCTCAATCACGCGAGTTACACTAAAGTTGACAATCGTGTGTCATGTACAATCTTACGTTAAAAATCTGTGAAAGATCGAGTCTGCAAAAGTCAAACCACGAAGTAGCGAGGGACTACTATTATGTTATCTGGTTTTTATGCGTTTGTTTTTTTTCTCATTATTAACCAGAAATACCTCCTCCATTATCCTGACGGGAGTAAAAATGTTTCCATGGTAGCTGTAGGTACAAACATGTACAAGAACTGTTGAAACTATGAGCTGATCTGTTTCAATCAGTGTTTGGAGGCGCCATGTCCAGGATGTACCGCTTACCCTCCACTGACGGGAACCACCTGCGGGTCCTGGAGCAGATGGCCGAGAGCGTCCTGTCACTCAACATTCCTCGACAGTTTGTCAAACTGCTGCTGGATGAGGACACAACCAGGTACGAACACACACCTGAACGTTTCGATGTTTACCTAAACTGACTGGCACTTTAATAAGAAATCAAAACGACATTGTTAGAAAGTTTTTGAATTAAAATCAAATCCAAAGTTAGCGTAGTTGCATTTTCCTGCACGGAGCAGACTTTTATTCTTAGTCCATAAATGTTCCACACAGTTGAGGTAGGGGCTTTGGGAAAACCATTCAGGGGCCTAATGTTTGCTGATTTATCCAGTTATTTTGTGTTTGGGGTTGTCTTGTTGATAGCTTGGAGGTAGTTCTTCTTCATTTTTCCACTCATTTTGTGCCACAGCATGTTGCTCTCATCACCATGCCTGACATTTCTTAAGTCTGAAAGCTTCACCTTGACTCTTCCAAACATCCCTCTTGTCACTGTGGTCTAACACCTCGATCTTTGTCTCTTTTAATCGTCAAGCTTTTCTCCAGAAGGCATTTCAGAATAAAGGCTTCAAGTGTTCCTGCAGGCTCCAGTTCTGGCTTGGGCCTTGTTGGTTTTTAGGTTGTTCCTGAACATGAAAACCATCCATCCATCCCAATGTTTTTCCTACCATACAAGCAGGGCGCCCTGCACTGTCAACAGAACCGAGTGCCCTGCC